GTGTGTGTGAGAGAGAGTGTGTGTGAGTGAGAGAGTGTGTGTGAGTGAGAGAGTGAGTGTGAGAGAGAGTGAGTGTGAGAGAGAGTGAGTGTGAGAGAGAGTGAGTGTGAGAGAGAGTGAGTGTGAGAGAGAGTGAGTGTGAGAGAGAGTGAGTGTGAGAGAGAGTGAGTGTGAGAGAGAGTGAGTGTGAGAGAGAGTGAGTGTGAGAGAGAGTGAGTGTGAGAGAGAGTGAGTGTGAGAGAGAGTGTGTGTGTGTGTGTGTGTGAGAGAGAGTGAGAGAGTGTGTGTGTGTGTGAGAGCGCGAGCGCGCGAGAGAGAGAGAGAGAGAGAGAGAGAGAGAGAGAGAGCGAGAGAGCGAGAGAGCGTGTGTGAGTGAGAGTGTGTGAGTGTGTGTGTGTGTGTGTGTGAGCAAGAGAGCGCGAGCGCGAGTGAGTGAGTGAGTGAGCGAGCGAGTGAGTTTTTGTCAGGTGGCCAACAACAGCATAGTATCCAATAACTCATCAAGAGCAGTGGCATAATTTTCAGGGCACAAGAGTCCTTGCACACATCTTGACATGAGGTATGTAATGGTTCTAATCTATCAGATCCACAGTGGCTTACTGGGCTTTCAAAGTCTTCATTAAAAACATGTTGGGTAAGACAGGATCGCGCACAGCAGAAGTAACCTAACCATACCAAATGTCTCCCAGCAACCTTGTGCTCGTCCATCAGTCTTTTATACCCAAACTAGGAATTAGTTTCTAAAGGAGTACATTCACTTGGTAATCCCTTCTTTATAAAGGAAATGAGACCGAGTGAGGGATGTGGGAAAGGAAATAATTTCATATTCATTTTCACTGCTAAAGTTACAAATTATTTAGCAGTATGGTCTCCAAACACCAAAAACAATTCTTACAGTACATTATTTTTTTAAAAGAAATTATTACTTTTATTCAACAAGGATGGCGTTAAAAGTTACAGAACAGACATTGTTACAATTTCCTTTTTATAAAAGTTGCAATTAAGATTTCCATTTTATATATATTTTCTTTTCAACTTTCTATCAGAATCTTGAAAAAAAAGTATCAGTCTCCACAAAAATATTAAGCAGCACAACTGTTTTCAACTTTGATAATACGTAATGTCTCTTGTGCACCAAATCAGCATATTAGAATGATTTCTGAATGATCATGTGACACTGAAGACTACTGAAAAATCAGCTTTGGCATTACAGGAATAAACTGCATTTTAAAACATTCAAATAGAAAACAGTTACTTTAAATTGTAATATTTCACAATATTATTTTTGTTCAAACAAATCCAGTCTGTATGAGCATCAGAAATCAAAAACATAAAAAAAAAAAAAAAAATCATGAAACACGTTAGATGACACAAAGCCACAATTTGAACAATTATTAAACATAAGCTGTCATTTGATCAAGCTTAGCTGGTCAAACTAGAGGATCTTACTGCCGTACAATAAAGGTATGAAGTGTAAGATGAGGTACCTATCTCACTGCCGGCTCTGGTGGAGAGGGCTGGCATGGTGACTGGCAAATCTGCTTCCTTTCAATTTCACAATGTTACCACAAAAATCCAGCAGCGTTGGAGCAGGCCGACTCGACCCCAGGAAGAGTCTGCAAATCCTTGGTTATGTCATTGGCAAATCTATAAAAGATTAAAAAAAAGACAATATTATTAAAATATAATAAAATATTATATTAAAAAGTACAGAGGTTATCAATTAAGCATGCATATACCAATAAAATGTTTTAACAGGATAAGCCCTTCAAACTGAACTCATTCTGTAATATTTAATGAGTTCAAAGATGGAAGATGTGAGGCAAAGGAACAGAGAAAGCAGCAAAGAGACAGAATGAAAGAGACAAGAGATACATTAGCCCCAAATGTTCCCAAAATCAATTCCAATTTCTGCTTTTTCCGTCTAGGGCCCTGTGCCTGCTCGGATCCGTGCTGCGGCACCGAAAGCACCTGAAACCTTTATGTCACCCCAAAGACCTGTAACCAGTGGCCCGAAAGAACATATGAAAAAGAGATGGAAAGAGGAAGGTGGGGGCAACCATACTTGCTCTGCCTCTATATAGATCACACAGTATCAGGTTTGTGGAAGAAGAATCCGAATGGAGAGGAGAGAATACATTTTTTTTTTTTTAAACACCTGATTGCAATGAAAGGTATGCTGGAGATTCAGTCATATGCTGCTTTGTGATAATAGCAAAGCACACTGCTGCCATCTAGTGGTGACAATAGAGCTAATTACAATTTACAAAGTGCAGCAATCAGGTGGCTCTGCAATTTGAACCAAAAGGGACACAAGAGGGGAAGATGAGCAAAGAGACTTGTGAAAGAGAAAAAAACAGACATGCATACACCTCTAATAATTGGAAAAGAACACATTAGAGATCATAATGCTACAAGCCCCCGCAAGATCAGAGAGAGTTCAGAGAGACAATACACAAAAACCAAAAGCTTGAGGTCAGTTTGATACATTTCCCTCTCTATTGTTTGTTACATCATCCTCCATTCTCCATTTCCTCTGCTGACCCTTCTCTGTCGATCTCTCAGTCTCCCTGTAGTCTTCTTGTAACTCCTGCCTGCAAACTGGCTCATGGCAGTCGTGTTGTTATTAAAGGCATGGCGTGTCATTGGTGTGCACATGCTGTTTTAAGAGCACATGCACCACGCTATTCCAATGTGCGCAAGTGTGTTTATATGTCTGTAAATTTCATACAGTGAGAAAAAAAGAAAAAGAAAAAAAAAAAACCTTCCAGTCAGTTAACATCTGGACTAATATTAGGGCCGTGCTGCTTCTGGAAGAATAAGCAAACCACTAACACACTTTTGCACTTGTACACTACAAGTCAAGGGCAAGGTGAGGATGAGGGCACCTGTTGGATAAAGTTGGAACTGTAATGCATATAGTTTACATCTTGTGGCTGTACTAAAACAGTAAGTATTTTAATGTTTACAGATTGGCCCCAAATCCAAAACAGCACCCCTTTTCTATGTTACAGATTTTTGTTGATTGAGCTTAATTTGAAACCAGAGCATTCATGTGTTATACACGTATGGCAAAAGATAAATTGTCATTTTGCCTATAAGCTACTTTTATTACTGGCATGCAGCTGTAAAGCCATTCCCCACAGACCACAAAAGAAATGTCAGGACTTTTTGCATTAAAAAAAAAAAAAATGAGAGTAATTATTATAGGTAATTGATATGGGCTCTAATATATTTGAGCATCATTGTTTCATAAAGAATGTGTGAATCACTAAATCAAGGGAATCACTTGAATGTGTGAATCACTGAATCATCTGCAGGTGCATTAAGAGTATTATAGATCAGTAAATCATGAGAATTACAACATTTATGTTGGACTGAATGAGCCACTAAAGATGATGTACAGTCAACATTAATTATGACGAATTATGAGCTACTGGAAACGTGTGTAACGTCAGTAGTGTAATAAGAGCAGGTATGGGCTAAATTCAGCTGTGCTGACTCATTGGTTGCATTTTTAATGCTGAAATGTCATCTGAATAGACCTAATATATATATATATATATATATATTCTCTGCATTTTGTGGGATGTATTTTTAGGGGACATCAATATGTACATCTAAAAAAAAAAAAAAAAGCATGCATCTTTAACATTATCTTTTTATGATTTTCACACATAACCTTTCAACATTTCTCACCATTTGTCTCATACTCGCATACAGCAGATCTGCTGCCATGAAGGTCACGAAGGCCTAGAAGAACTTTATCCAAAACACACACTTCCCTGACTACATACAATGAACCATTAGGAACACTACAAATTGCCTCGTGTCAGTAACGCTTCATAGGGCAGACTGACTACGAGAGTGAGACTTCTAAAACTACAATAAAATGAAGTCACTTGGATAGGAGCTTATCGGTTGCTATGTTGGGCTCAAGAGGTCAGTAGGTGGTAGGTTAGATTTGCAGTTTTCAGCATCTCAAAAGATGCCGAAAAACTAAAGAATTTGTGGGACCTGAAGGATTTTTCTGAAGAACAATGGACCGTTTAACCGTTCAGGACAAACAAGGGACTCTATACAACACATATATATATATATATATATATATACACACACACACACACACACACATACATATACACACACACAACTATATATACACACAACTATTTTTGAACGGGTCATTTTTTATAAACTCAACTATTATTTTCTCTTGTGGACTATATGTAAACAACTTTTTTGTGAAATATCTTATTCAGGTCAGTACTAAATAAAACATAACATGCATTTTGTATGAATAATTATCTTATTTAGGTAAAATAATTAACATTTTGTAGATGACAACTGTATACAAGTAGTATATAAATAGGGGGAAAAAACATTATAGTGAATGTATAACTAGTTTTTTTCTTTTTTTTAAATAGATTTTAATAGTGTTAAATAGACTTGTGTCTTTGCTTGTCTGCTGCAATGGGATCATATGCATGCGGTCAAGGTTTGTCTGTTAGCATGGCCCTATTAACCCCTGCTGGAAGATGTTGTGACTACAAATTATGTGGGCAAAAGGCATCTTTCGCCACTGGGGGGTATTTAAAAGTAGCTGTCTTTTCTGACATACATCTCTTAATATGTAATTACAGGAAAGTACAGTAAAACAATGTTGTGAGAACATCAAAAAGCCACAGTGTTTACAGTCTTCTGGATGGCTTAATTTTGGTTCTCTTTGAATATGAAGCCAAGATAGAAGAAAGTGCTTTAACATCAAAAAAAGTAACACACCAGCTTTAATGTTTCTAAATCTACTTTTGCACATTAATTCAGTGTGCACATGCTGCATATATCAGCTCACAACTTAACACCTGCCTACTGACAACACGCACACACCCACATACCTGAACAACAAGAACAGCGAGTTCCTCCAAGTGGGTTTTTTTTTCAGTCGGAACACAACCTGACAAAACCAAAAGAGAGGCAAAAATCATTTTTAGCACAGCAACGCTGTATAATGCAACATTTCGGTTTTATTTTTTTAAGAAAACATTATCTTTAATTAGTTCTAGGATGGTACCATAAAATTATTACAAATAATTTTACTCATTGTAACCACCAGGTGGAGATACAGCATAAAGCTACATTTACAAATCAACCACTCAAAACATAAAAAAAAAAGAAAAAAAAAAAGTGTACCACATAGTTGAAGTTAAATGGGTGATAACTTAAAGTGATAGTTCACCCAAAAATGAAAATTACCCCATGATTTACTTAGTTAGCCATCCTAGGTGTATATGACATTCTTCTTTGAAATGAATACAATCGGAGTTATATTAAAAAACATCCTGGCTCTTCCAAGTTTTATAATGGGAGTGGATGGTAGCCCAAAATTTGAAGTCCAAAAAATTGAACCAATCCATTATAAAAGAAGTCCACACGGCTCCCGGGGGGTAAATAAAGGCCTTTTGAAGGCATTTTTGTTATTTACTGAAAAGTTATATTTTAGCTGTTGTCAATGATCTAATGTTGCATTTGGTCAGACTTAGCCCATTGCTTTACTTAAGTATATTATATTTTCCTTTTACAGCTGCAGACTGAGGAAGATCCTGAAACACACCAGCAAACCCTAAAACAGACAACAGTTTACAGATGTTTTTCAGTGGCAGCAGAACTATGACTGAACTTTTGGGTGAAACTTTTTTACTTTTTTCATACTTGTATTACTTGTGGAAAAACTTGAAACAATTTTAAATAAGTCTAAAGAATGGCATTGGTTTTGTACATGTAATTTTTGTTTAACATTATTAATAAAAATGTTGTTCAATTAGCATGTTTTTGTGTTCTGCTTTGGTACCGAAATTGGTACCGAGAACAGTGGATTTTCACTGGTATTGGTACCGAATACTGAAATTTTGGTACTGTGACAACACTACTCTCGAGTCTAGCATATTCTCACCGAAGTTTACGCTAAGCCTACGTCATCCGCTGGACGCCACTCTCTCGTGAACGCGTGTATAACAGTTAGCGGAAGTTAGAGATTAAAAATTTTTTTTTAAAAGTGACGTGACATATGGCCAAGTATGGTTACCCATACTAGGAATTAGTGCTCTGTGTTTAACCCATCCTAAGTGCACACACACACACAGCAGTACGTACACACACACATACACACACACGGAGCAGTGGGCAGCCATTTATGCTGCGGCGCCCGGGGAGCAGTTGGGGGTTCGGTGCCTTGCTCAAGGGCACCTCAGTCATGGTATTAAAAGGTGGGAGAGAGCGCTGTACATTCACTTCCCCCACCTACAATTCCTGCCGGACTTGAGACTCGAACTCGCAACCTTTTGGGTTACGAGTCCGACTCTCTAACCATTAGGCCACGACTTCCCCCTATCATAAGGTTTATGAAATTGTAATATTTTTGATATTTTATATTTTTTCTTACACAACCACATCGCGTCGCTTCAGAAGGCCTTTATTTACCCCCCGGAGCCGTGAGGACTTCTTTTATAATGGATTGGTTCAATGTTTTGGACTTCAAATTTTAGGCTACCATCCACTCCCATTATAAAACTTGGAAGAGCCAGGATGTTTTTTTAATATAAGTCCGATTGTATTCGTCTGAAAGAAGAAAGTCATATACATCTAGGACGGCTTGAGGGTAAGTAAATCATGGGGTAATTTTCATTTTTGGGTGAACCAACCCTTTAACACAAAACCAATACAAAAAGTCATAACCTCATTCTGCACGTATGAATGTGCTGTCTTGTATCCAAACCATAACATTTAAAGTTATTCTAAAAAAAAAAATTAAAAACACACTGAAAGTTATGCAAAGACTAAACTAAGAAACAGTTCAATAGTTTCAGCTAGCTCAAAGTTCATTTCTACCGGGCCTTTTTGTGCACATGGTTAGAAGTGTCTGTGTGTGTGTGCGCGCGCGTCATCAAAGGTGCATTTGAGATTTGGAGCATTGTAAGAGTCATTAAGGTGATGATTGGGGGCGTTTGTGTAAGAACAACAGCCCTATTCCTTCAATGAGAGTTGGGCTGAGTATTGTGTGTGGCTGTCTCTTTTGGCCCTCAGAGACTGTGTGGAGTAATTAGGAGATGAACGATTTATTTAGGGCTCTTTTTGGAGAACAGCTTGCAGAGGCACTCTGCCACCCCACCACACATCAGTGCTCACCCTATTCATTCATCTGTGGATGGGCACAGACACACGCAGAAGGTACACCACATGTGAATAAATGCTTGAAGTGCACACCGTTGTTGAGAGAGTTAGAATAACATTAAAAGTGAAGCAGAGACCCACGTGATTATGTGCATATCACTTGAGAGAATCACTTGAGATAATTGAGAGAATGTAACAAAGCAACCACAAGGCAGGACAACATTTTGATGGCAGCACACAGATGGCTGCGACATGTGTGGACGAAACACAAGGGAGTTGTGGAACGGATGGAATTAGTAGATTTCTACAGCTGTTTTGTGAACGTAAAGCTGCCACACAACTTTTGGACCTTTCATTATATACAGTGGGCTTTTCCATGTTAATTTGAATTTTTGTCCTAACCAGATGCCACAGTGGATTCTATTTTAAAATGTTATTTTATTTATGCGACTGGAACAACAACATACAAACTATGACGATGATCTCAGGTACTGATTATGTGCTTTATTTAAAGGGGTGGTTGATAAGCTTTTTTCAAAGGCTTGATTGTGTTTATGGGGTGCAGTGTAACGTGTTTTCACGTATTTTACCTTTATTCTACACCACTGTTTCCAAGGCTTGATTGTGTTTATGGGGTGCAGTGTAACGTGTTTTCACGTATTTTACCTTTATTCTACACCACTGTTTCCATTCTAGTCAAAACGGTCTGTTGAGTTCCTGGTTCTATGAAGCCCCTCTCTCATTAAACCACAGCTTCATGGGTTTTTTGCTCGGATTTATTTTTGGTTTTGTGCTGGTATTAGTATATTTTGCATGCAAGTGATAGGAATCAATCCCTTGACGTGATTGGTTATTGGTTTGTGACGTAGCAAACCAAGGGCTGTTTCAAACCATATTTCTGGGTCAGCCTTTGGGAAACTACAGTTTTAAGGAGAAAATACACAGCAAAGGTGTTGATTAATAGATTGGCACATGGTTTGTCTAAAAGCATATTAAAAAACACCACAGACAAATAAACAGCAAACTTGATTTTCACTACAGGGGGACTTTAAGGTTAATAGGGTCTAATGTGAGTTTGAATATAATTTTGAGTGACCTTTATAGCCATACTGAAAGCTACAATAGATAATTTACCTCAGCTCGAGAAAATAAAGGAAACGTGAACACTAAAACGGATCACAAACAAGTGTATTCCATGACAAAGACAGCATCAATCACTCACTATGCATTTTTAATCATTTCAAAGTGGTTTAAGAATTTTAATTAGATTTTGCGCTTTTGCAGAGAGAGCCCACCCATATGCTCTTCTGATTGACTATGACTTTTGATTGATTTTGTCTCATCACAGGTACGAGACGTGTCAAAATCCATCAAAAGTCAGGTGTGGACAGACAAATTGCATATGGTTATTACACAGAGTTAAGCTACATATTAGACTCCTTAAATATGAAAAAAACATAGGAATCAAATGTTGTAATAGAAAAATCAAATATGAAAAAATTAATGATAAATATTATGAATTCATGTTAAAGAACATTGCTATGCTATTAAAGTCATCCCTTTCAGAACAATACTGCAGATGGCAGACACAAAGAGACACCGACACTGCATTACACATGGACCACAGAAATTCAAATGGTTATTTAACTCTACCCAGCACCGGCCCCCCTTTTCCTTTTCCTACAGGCAGAGAGAGATGATGAAGAGAGCTCAAAGCAACACAGGTATCCTATTCAAAGTACCCTATAAGACAAACATCTAGCCAGGAACAGGCTTTATAAATAACAAGCACCACTCTTCTCAACACAACTGTCAAAGTTGATTTTAACAGGAACCATTTAAAAGACATTAAACTTCTGCAAATATACGGTCTTCCTATTACTATGGTCCTAAAAAGAGAGCAGTAGAAAGAAAATACTGTAAATCTAAAAAGAAAAGCAACCATTTACTCTCACAATTCAATGCCATTTGAATTTTGCACACGTTTGTAGTCTGGTCTGTTTGAAGTGTTACAGCAAATTTTCACAGCTATGAACAGACACAGTTAGGAGCAGATGATGTGTTTATTTATTGACCGTCTGTAATCATTTTATTTAGGGCTGCACGATATTGGAAAAAACTCACATTGCAATATTTTTGTTTTCTGTGATATATATTGCGATATGAAAAAAAAAATCTGATGACTTCAGTAGCTCTACTTGGAAAAAAATTAATAAATCAATGATTGGGGTGATTTTGTAGGCGAGTAAATCAGCATAGGAAATAGCAGAACAAAGATACAAATTAAATAAGCAGTGCTTTATATTTTTCAGGTAAGTCTAACAGTATTCAGGTACAGAAATTGAATAATCAAATATAAAAACACTGCATAGTTTTCACTATAAATTAAATCTAACAAACGTGTTAAAGTTACAAAATTTTTCTTTATGTTTTTGTTGTTTGATTAACATTCATGACACAGAAAGCAACAGGAACATTAAACTGCTGTGATTGTGAACCAATATACTGTTACACATCCATTTTCTTTCTCAGTTGTTTACCTTCACCTAAGCCATAAGTAAATACAATTATTTTCATCCGAAATATTTCTTTATCATGCTCAGATCTCATATTTAGAACAGAAGCAAAACGGTTATTAGAGCTGGGCAGTATAAGAGTATAATATATATATATATATATATCTCATGATGATGGTATAATATGCCCATTGTTAGAGATTTTGCTATATTGTTTATTTCACTATGTAAATATGTCCGAGTAGCACAGCACTACTTAAAGTTAACACATAATAGTGATAAAGAAACATGCATGAAAGGAAAAAGACAATGTGTTGTCGACTGACACACCTGTGAACCAAGTGAACAGAAAGCGGCCACTCTCAGACAGCATACAATCATGAGTTCAGTTCTCTTTAGCGTCTTATTGTGCTTTAACGGTCAAATACAGACACAATTATGTCAAAATTCCCATTCTGTAGAGTATTCACATAAAGACAGTTGGTTATATCTTAAGTGAACGTAAACAGTTGGGTGAAAAACGGATGTGTACCAGTATATTGCATTTGTGCATACAGCAGCCTAATTTACCTGCTGCTGTCAGTGTCATTACTGTTAATCAAACAACAAAAGACAAACTTTTTAGAATAACATTGATATCTTTAATAAGAATCAGTTCATATTTGATTTATACAGTGAAGACTATGCAGTGTTTTAGTTTTACACTTGATTACTAAATTTCTCTATATATAGTAGTACTTACTACATGTTAACGGAACACTCCACTATTTTTGAAAATAGGCTATTTTCCAACTCTCCTAGAGTTAAACGGTTGAGTTTTACCGTTTTCGAATCCACCCCTCAGGGGCCACACCCACAACTTCCACAGCTCTGGGCGGGGGTGGATGATAGTACCATCTGCCTGTGAGAGGAGATCTCTCCTGACAGGAATCTCCCATGGAGCGCCGTCGAGGAGAGAAATCGGGTCCGAGAACCATACTCGGCCCTGCCAGAACGGGGCTACTAGCAGAAGACGGACCCCGTCCCGACGCACTCTCTCCAGAACATCCGGGAGCAGAGCGATCAGGGGAAAGGCGTACAGACGAAGCCTCGGCCACGTCTGTACCATGGCATCCAGCCCCAGTGGAGCTGGGTGAGTGAGAGAGAACCAGAGGGGACAGTGCAATGTCTCTCGAGTCGCAAACAGGTCCACCTGAGCCTGGCCAAAAACTCTCCATATCTGCTTCACCACCTCGGGGTGAAGCATCCATTCCCCGGGCCTCAGCCCCTGCCTCGACAGGATGTCTGCTCCCAAATTGAGATGCCCAGGAATGTGAACTGCTCTCAGCGAGAGAAGTGTGCCCTGGGACCACACAAGGATCTGGTATGCTAGTTTGTACAAACAGCATGAGCGCGGATCTCCCTGGTGGTTGATGTAAGAGACCACCGCTGTGTTGTCGGTGCGCACCAACACATGGTGACCTCTTAGGTCTGGGAGGAAGTGTCTTAGTGCACGAAGCACGTCCAGCATCTCCAGGTAGTTTATATGCCATGTCAAATGGCGACCACTCCACAGACCGCGGGCAGGGTGGCCACTCATGACCGCACCCCAACCGGTGAGGGATGCGTCCGTCGCTAGCGTTATGCGGCGACAAGGAGCTCCCAGCACCAGACCCTGAGACAAGAACCAAGGTTTCCTCCACATGTCCAAGGCACGTAGGCATCGCCACATGACCTTGATCATGCAAAGCAGGTTTCCCCTCGGGGAGAATCCCTTGGTTTTGAGCCACCACTGTAGGGGTCTCATGTACAGCAGGCCAAGAGGTATCACGTTGGACGCAGCTGCCATCAGACCCAGCAGTCTCTGAAACTGCTTGACAGTGAGTGACCGGCTGCGGTGAGGATCGACTCGATCCGAGCAGGAGACATATGTGCCTGCATCGTGGTCGAATCCCACACCTCACCCAGATAAGTGGTTCTCTGTACTGGAGAAAGCACACTTTTCTTGGCATTAAGTCTTAACCCCAGCTCTTTCGTGTGAGCGAGAACGACATCTCGATGTCGAACCGCCATCTGCTCGGATTGAGCTAATATCAAACAATCGTTGATGTGGTTGAGTCGTGAAAGTGTGGGGTGAGAGTGCAAGGCCAAAAGGAAGAACCAGTATTGGCAGGCTTTTGCCCCCAAAAGCAAACCTCAGGAACTTCCTATGATGAGGAAGGATGGAGATATGTGCATCTTTTAGATCGATCGTGACACACCAGTCCTCAGACTTGGTCACGACCTGTTTGAGTGAGAGCGTGCTGCACTTCAGTCCCCTGACTGAGCGGTTCAAAAGACGCAGATCTAAAATAGGACGCAACCCCCCATCCTTCTTCGGAACAATGAAGTACCGGCTGTAGAACCCGGAGTCTGTCTCGTGCGGAGGGACCACCTCGATGGCCTCCTTCCTCAAAAGAGT